CTGTAAGTCATCCTCTGATCCCCACAAACTCTGTGGAAGATGGACCCAAATTTAATTCATCAATAATTTGTTTATGGCTTCAGTTCTACTTGTCTCTGTGTGATGTCTTATTTGTTTGTTTGTTTGTTTTAACTGAGACTATAATGTAGGCAAATGTGTTTAGTATTAAGAAGTTCATTTTGTTCGTGGATCTTGCTTTTGTTTTTTGAGACAGGGCCATTCTACACAGCCTTGGCTGTCCTGGACTCTATGCAGACCAGGCTGGCTTCAAACTCACAGAGAGCCATCCTCTGCCTCTGGAGTGCGGGCGATTCAAGGTGTGCACCGCTAAGGCTTAGCCAAGAGGTTCTTTTTGCAAAACTCTAAATTCCTGATTTCCATCTCAACCTTTCAAACTCTATTTTCTTGCTGAGTAGCAGAGGACTGTCTTCCACTAGGACAATATGCACAAGCCTTCCTTTGCTCAGGTCTCCTTTCCTGAAGAGGCTGTAAAGACAATTGTAAAGAAACCCTGCTCTGTTTTGTTGTCCAGTGACTCACCAAGTAGTGAGCTGCTGAAAGCTCCCTGGTATGATAAGATGATAAAATAAAACTGACAAAGGATTTGTCAAACGAGAGTGTCAGGGTGAGACCAGGAAGACTCAGCCCATAGGAAGGTTTGGGGTTAAGATGCAAACGCAGCAGAATGCTCAGGTTTCTGCCCACCCCACCCCCCAACCCCATTTAATGCCATTTTAATGAAATGGAGCACACACAGTAACCAGCCTATTTGACAGTACAGAGTCTAACAAGCTGACTCAGGCATTTGGGATACCTCCATGTGGACTGAACCAAATAAGTGAAGCACTGGAAAAGATGCAGATGTGGGAACTGTTAACATATGCGTTTAGAGCCATGGAAGAAAAGAACCATCCATGGCGGGGCTCACAGCCGAGGGTGCACAGGGTAGCCTGGGAGCCCAACAGTCTAAAGCTCTCTCAGGACTGCAGGGACAGAGTGAGACAAGGCAAACACTGACAAAGACCCCACCCTCCTGACACACAGTAGGCAGAGGCAGGAATGGTAACTGCACCTAAGACTAGAGTAGATCAGGAGGTAATTTGAAGAGTATGCTTTATCCTTTTAACTTAACGGGCATCATCAGTAAGCATAGCAAGAGCAGCTTCAGTGGCAGAATAAAAGCTCCTTTATTTTTTATTTTATTCAGTGGCAGAGCAAGTAAAAGCCTTATTTTGTAGATGAAAATAAATTGAGTCACAGGTAAATTGCAAATATACAGACACCATACAAAAGCTTAGCTGAAGAGAAGAAGGCAGAGAACACAAATGATAGAGATATTTTAAACTTCTAAAGGTCAGCATTTAAGGACTCCTCAACAACACGATCTACTTTTAGCTTCTATTATTTCCAACTAAAACCCTTATTTTGGGGCTAGTGATATAGCCAATGGTTCAGTACTTGCCTAGCACATGAATGGCCATGAATGTGTACCCTAGTACTGTAAAGATAAATAAATAAATAAATAAATAAATAAATAAATAAATAAATAACACAGAGAGAGAGAGACACCCATAAACCAACAACAAAATACATGACCCCACACACTTCTTGTCTGTTGCCAATGCATCCTATTAAAAAAAATAAAACTCAAATTTGTGACTTATCCATATAACTTTCCTAGTCAGAGAACTAATTAGGAAAAAGATTCTTATCACAATCAGAACTCAATTTTAAAAACTTGAATATGTCTTTGTTTTTTTAAAGAACTATTCATTTACTTTTGTGTACAGGAGTATACTGGACCTATCTTCAGACACCCACTAGAAGAAGGCATCAGACCCCATTACAGATGGTTGTGAGCCACCATGTGGTTTCTGGGAATTGAACTCAGAATCTCTGGAAGAGCTTTAAATACTCTTAACTGCTGAGCCAGCTCTCCAGCCCCCCTTGAATGTGTCTTGTATAACTAATTAAATAAACACTCCAATGACCTCCCCAACAGGGAGTCACAATCTGATAAGAGAGTTGCTTATCTTTTCAACCTAACAAAAGGACAAAGCAAACATGTAGCTGCTACACATAAAAACAACAACTGCTTACCCTACTCCAGGGCAATACAGTCCAGGGACTACAATCCAGAGACAATACATTCCATTTCTACTTTGTAATCTTAATTTATGCAAAAATAACTATGTGTTATATTAAATTCTGTTTTAATGCCCTCTTTAAATGTAATAGTTTATATACTTAAAGATAGAGCATTTAAAAGAATCAATCCATATAAATTTGTAATTTATAGTTTACAGAACTCATATTGAACAAGTCTATAATGACCTGGGCATAAAATGCTTATTCTATAAAAACAAAATTGCTCATTTTTTTCTTATCATCCATAACTTCAAACCTACTGAGGGTGGAACCTGAATTAAAATCCAAAAAGTTCATTCTAATTCTAGGCCTAAGGTTCAATGCTTATACCACTAACTTTAATACCTTAATAAAAGAGGATGATATATTTAAAGAATAAAAACATGTTACCTATGGGAACCTTAGAAATATAAATCTCATTGTCTAATTTATTCACTTCCTAATAAAAATAAATTTGCCATATTGAGTAATGATTAATTTATACTGATGACTTACTTTACTGGATCTAAATAATAAATTGCAAATCAGAATTATTTTTGTCTTCATGTATTTTCATCAACCATCTATTCAACAATGGTGGGTCTGCTATATATGTGTCAAAATATAATTAAAACCAGTATCATTTTATTAACAAATTTGTATCTAAACTGTTTAGATGACACAATTATAGAAATGACCCCCTTATTACCTTCATATTAATGATACAGCATTCAAATGTTATTTCAGCTGTTAGGTTGAAGATAATGAAGCGTAAAAGATAACTATCTTGGTGTAATCAAAAAAATCCTAAAATATTATCAGGTTGCATGAGAATAATTGGAAAAGCATGCGTGTTTGCAGAAGTAACCTGCTAAAATAATTATAATAACACTTTTCTGCACTAGCTAAAAGAAAGAGTAAACTGTCAAAAGACTGTGTTAGATTTATGCTAAAATTCTTTGACAGGTCTCAGAGGAGAAGAGACACACACTTTTCATTTTAGAATAATTCCATAAACCACAACAGAGAGAAAACTCAAAACTATTCAACAAACCAAGGAATGAGTAGGTACCATTCTGTTCATGTCTGGTTTAAATCTCTAGGTTACTGATCCCTACATCCAAGAACATATCCAGCACAGTGGAGTTACCTCAGCTTTTACAATCTGTGAGTGCATTCAGGTCTAGTAAATAATAAAATTACTGTTAAAATGACCAAAATGTCAAACAACTAACCTTTAAATAAAGCACACAAGTTTATACACAACATTGAGAATGATCTAACAAAGAGAAGATGAGTAAAGAATCCATTAAATAAAATCTGTTCTCAACAGGACAACTCAAATTTCCCATGTATATAGGTTCAGTAGAGGTTAGATTCTACCTCAGTCTTTTGGGGTTTGGGAAGAATTCTACTCAGTTACAAACTTTCAAAATTTTTGAATAATAAAAACCTTTGTAAGGAAACAAATTTTAAAACATCAAAAAGCCAGATGACAGATATTCATGACTATGTAGCTTATCTATGAAAAAAATGCAACCAGAGAACAGCTTGATTAAAAACAGAGGTCAAGATGGTAGAATCCCTTCTGTGTTGAAGCAAACTGAATACACCAACACCAGTAGTTGTGTGTTTATCCTAAATTCGGGAGTCAAACAAGGGCAAAGCCTCACACAGAAAGCTGAATAGCCCAAAGAAAACCTCTGTGTTGACAAGAACCTAATGGCACATGCAGGTACGCATCTTTTATATTTGATGTGATACACTTACATGGCCCCTGTTGAATCTCTTGGGGACCAACAGTAAAGCAAGTTTAGAACTTCAAATCTTGAGACATCTATAGCAAGATGCTGATCCAATGTGGCTCCAAACATCTTCTGTTTTCCTGGCTCACCTGAAGAGGAAAAAACACTGCAGAGGATGTGGGAACTGATTTTTTTTTCTGTAGTTTCTTCTAGAGCAAATGTCTGAGGGGCTTTGGCCCAGTCCTTTGTGAAATGTGAAGATGAAATACTTGAAGGACTAGTTAAAAACAAATCAAATGACAAGATGGAGTGGAGAATATTCAAGCAAGATACTCATTGTAGGCCAATCACGGCTTCTAGCTCAAAAGTGGGAGGAACAGAGAAAAGAGAAGAAATAAAGCTTCTCCCTCCACCTTCTCATCCCAGCTGTTACTGAAGTTCATGGAGTGCAGCTGGTCCCGCAGAGTGTCTAACTTCTGACCACAAGGGGGAGGAGTCAGCAGAGCCATCTGGAAGGCTATTCAGTCATCCCTGGCTGTGTGACCTTGTTAAGCACCAGGGAAGCCTTTCAGATAATACTAAGAAAAGTTTCTGGTGGATATAAGTTGAAGAAATAAAGAAAGGGAAAACTGCATTGAACTTATACAAAAACAGAACTCACAGTAAAATATCCACACTGACAATCTGTATCTAATTCAGTTTTTCAAAAGGTTTGAGATAGATTCCTCGAAATTAAAAATCAGAATCAAAAGGGTAAATAAAAAAAAACAACTTCCAAATAACAGAAAATGTTTTCAAACCAAACACAACACAAGCTTCATGATTCAACCTTCTAGTTAATATTATCCCTAGAAAGATAATCTTTAAGAAACTAAGATTAGTACAACCAAGCCTGAGGTATATTATAACACAGAAAAAATAAAACTGTTGCCAATATTACTTCAATTCACTTTAATTAACTTTTATTTTATTAAGTCCTGTTTTATTATGGTTATTCTCTATAATAGGACTGGACATAAAACTTTTTTCCATATGCATTCCAATTTTACCAAAATTTACCTGCATTATGCCTGATAAAAACACCAGAATTTTCTGAAAACTCTGATGAAGAACAAATGAGCTCCTTACCTGACGTGGTTGTTCATTCATCCGTTGTGGGTCTGACTTCACTTTATTGTTTGGGTGGTTCGTGACTTTGGTTACTGGTTGCTTGAAAATTGATGCAGTTTGTCTAATTGGTAATGTTGTGTTCAGGTCTGGTTTACCCTGGAATAGAAATGTGTTTTCATTAATATTTATATGAACAAAATTGGATCAATACCTTTTTAAATTCAAAATCCATAACTTTAAATAAGATTATTCCAACTTCAGTGTCAGCATGGTAAATATTCTAAAAAGATACTGATTTTTTTAAATGTATTTATTTTATATGTATATATGCCAGAGTCTGTATATGTGCACCACATGCATAAAAGTGCATGAAATGGTCAAAGAAGTGTTGAGATGCCCTGGACCTGGAGTTACAGGTTGTGAGTTGCTGATGTGGGAACTAAGAACTGAACTCAGGGCCTCTACAAGAGCAATATGGGCTCTTAACTGCTGAGCCATCTCTCCAGTCTCTCTAAAACTGCATTTTAAACACTTTATTGTGTATTAACTTTTTCCATAAAGTAAGGTGCACCTTTAACTCTTTGTATGATATTATCTGATTAGCAGAGTGCTAAGGACATTTAAATGAATGTATCTGAGGAAGAATAAGAATTTTAAGACAGCCATCAGGATGACAACTATTTCTACATTCTAATAGGGACACACATTAGCATTAAATAAATGAGCATTAGAACTAACTCGATTGGGAGTGAGACCACAATTAACATAGCATCACATTAAAGAACGGATTCCAGTAAACAGAATTCATTTCTGAAAATGTTTATAAAATAAGGAGACATGCCTAAATTAAAACATCAAAAATTGAGCACCTATGGTAAAAATGGCAAATTCCACACATAGAATGGGGTACAAACAAGTGAAGTCCAAAATGTAGTGCGAACACACACACACACACACACACACACACACACATATGGAGATACTTCAAACACTGAAAAACACACAGGCCAAAACCCTTGTGCATGCAAGTACATTGTGTAAGATAACTACCCTGCATTTCTGCTTTGTTTGCTGAGGGAGACTCAGCATAATCCATGTTGGAATAGAAACCCATTATGTAGCACAGGCTGCCTATGATGGGCACAAACCCAGCCTGGAGGTATTCTTTACTTACTACCTCTCACATGTCATGCTTTTGGCAAGATTTGAAATCAAAGCTTTGGAAAGGCTCCATCAAATTTGAATCATCCAGTAAATAACATGTCAAGCATGTTTTAGTGAGGCCAAATTGTAAAACAGAACTCCCATTAATGTCACTTGCAATATCCAATGCAAAGATAACAAAATTTAATTGATATTTTGATTCTAACAAAAGATATAAAAAAGCCATATACCAAGAATAATTTACACCTGACATTTCTATATAGAGATATATTCATAAATTTATACTTGATGAGCTTATGTCTTTACTATCATGCAAAATTGTAATGTGAAATTCCATACAAAGAGCAGTTCTCAAATCTGAGTTCACATTGGAATTACCTTGCTTGTTAGCAGAGGATGATAGGCCCATCCCCAGAGCTTCTGATCTGCTAGGCTGAAATGGAGCCAGGGAATTGGCATCAATTTAAGATCTCCACTGGTGAATGATGCTGGTGGTCACATTTGGAGAACCACTGCTCTAAAGAAAGATTGCTTATTGGTGGCAGGTAGTGCAAGTCTAATCATGTATGTGTGCTGACAGCTTTTCAGGGTCTTTAGTAGAATAAGGGTGGCGTCTGGTATGAAATCCATTCTTCTAGCTTCTCTCAGACACTAAAAGATGGAGAAATGGCTGGCTGGCCTGGTTGGGTAACAGGCACGACTCATTTGTTACAGTTGCCCACTAGAGGTGCAAGGTGTCCTCTGACATTCCTGGACAACTCACATTTGTGTGAACTGTATGAGCTGCACAGGCATGGAGTCTGTGGCCACTACCTGAAGAGCAGCAAGCCTAGCAGGTAAGCATCACCTGACAGCTGAGACGGGCAGCTATGACATCTTCAGTAATATTGAGGTCCGTTATAAATATGCCTCTCCTTTGGCCACAGCAAACACTCCTCTGTCGTGCGTACTGTGCATTCATGTCATTCCTTCATCTTAACTTCTCCCAACGGATGTGCTTATCCTCGAGATAAGATTTATTTCAAATAACTATCACAATGGTAGTTTCTAGCACTTAGCTTTATCTTAATAATCTATAACTGTGCAAATTCAAGGAACTGGCTGCAAAATAATCATCTAAGGGTCACCTTTAGAAATTATGCAGCTTGATCCAGCAAGATGGCTCATTGGATAAAGGAGCTTGTGGCTGAGTTTAACCCATGATGGAAGGAGAGAATTTAATCCCACAAGTTGTCCTTTGACTCCTACACATGCTATAAAATAGGAATGGCCCCACACATGCACATGAGCATACACACATGGAATTTTTTATTTTTATTATTGTTGTTGTTTAATGGGGCTCAGGAATGTGCATTGTCTGTATGCATGTGCTTGTCTGTGCACATTTGGTGTAGCTATGCATGCATATGTGTGCCTACGTATAGAGGCCATAGGTTGGTGTCAGGTGTCTCCCCTCCTTACTGTTATAGACAAGGTGTCTCACCAAACCTGAAGTTTACCAATGTGGCTAGACCAACTGGCCTGAAAGAACCAATCTTCCTGTCTGCCTCCTCCCTAGCGCTGGGATTAAAGATAGCCAGGGGTGGTGCTCTTTTATCTGAGTACTAGGTGTGTTTATTTTTAAATATTCCCCAGTAACATTGTGATGCATACAAGACATCAAACATTTCCAGCTTGCATCACTTAGAACATTTGGAGCCCTAAACAAATTCACTTAAGGTTAATGTTCAGTCTTAAAGAATCCTATCTAACTCTTAAGAACCACTGCTGCCATTAAGTATATCATATACTATTCTTCACTATGAGTCTTAGATCCTCAAAGACTGGACATATGCAACATATGAAATTATTAGTATTAAAAAATGTTACGGTTGGTGTTTCTGTATGTAATTATGCTCTTGGATCAATAGAAAAAAAAACGAGAAGAGTTGGCTAAAATATTCAAGATACATTGTTAGGTTCCATTGTCTAGTGAGGTGGTTTAATCTATGCACTCTTAAAGAATCCCAGTCTAATTCTTTTATTTTTTTAAAGATTTATTTATTTATAGAACATGAGTGTTCTGTCTGCATGAAGCATCAGATCCTATTATAGATGGCTGTGAGGCACCATGTGGTTGCTGAGAACTGAACGCAGGACCTCTGGAAGAGCAGCCTCTTAACCTCTGAGCCATCTCCCGAGCACCACACCCCTGCCCCTGTTCTAATTCATAAGAAAGACAATCGCACAGAGATGTTAAAAAATCCACCTCATCATTCTTCTCTTGATCTCATTCAACCTTTTTTAACACTTTTTTCCTTTTAAATAGTTAACAAACATGACAATTTTGTATTCTGTAACATTCTCATGGGCAATCTGCAAAGTGGACTGACTGGCTTCCTAGAAGCTCACAGAAACAGTAAACTGTATTGTTACTCTCCCATAAGGACTGCCAAAGAGTCACTTAATTCAGAGCTACCTGTTACCTGAGTTTTCCTAGACCACTGGCACTCTGACATAAGCTTGGGTATTAAAAACAATCAGCACCTGGGCATGAAGTAGGATTATAGCTGTTCACAAAACTGAAATCCTTCATATAAATATATATATATATATATATATATATATATATATATATATATATATATACACACACACATGTATATATGTATATATGTATGTATATATACATACATATATATAGTGAAGTTCCTTTACATTACAAACTAAACCAGAAAACTCATTGCAGTATTATAAACCAGCCCAGCCCTCTAATCAGTTCATGAACTTTAAAATTCTAAAAATATGTCCTGTTAAATAAGCAGATTTCTTTTTTCTTTTACTTTTTTCAATGGCCTTCCACAAATTTGGGTAACGTAAGACTTAAGGTCCATGAAGTAAGTGTGACTGGGGAGGGCATGGCTCTCAGTACCATGGGACACTTCACTGAGTCACAGAGGTTATAGAACTGGTCTATAAACCAGAGCCTGCCAGTTGTTTTTCTCCCTGCCACCTCAGAATGTCGGAAACACACAGCTCACTGCACTCTAAAGCTGACAGCCCTCTGTATTCTACCTAATGTATCATTACAAATGCAACTGTCAGCGGTTCTGCCTAGTTACACTATAACAAACTAAGAGGCCATCAATCCTGTATGCATGAGTGAACATGTCAGCAGCCTACATTTTATTTGTTTCTTTTGAATCAAATATTTCATTTCCAAAGTTATTTCAAATTTCAGACTTGAAAAATCTTTGCTGATATTTTATCAGTATTTTTAATATTAATAAACAATATTTAGTGATATTTTTCTACTTCCTGTGATGATATAAAACTCTCAATGATTTTTTTAAAAAAAATACCATGATTTACCAAACATGGTATATTACAATTTTAAAATAACTACTTAACATATTTAACTTCAGATATGAGATACAGTTCAAGACAAAGTTGGTGGGGCCTTTTCTACTTCTTGTTTTTTCAATAGGTCCTTGCTATATTCCCTAGGCTGGCCTCCCAACTCCTCATCTCAAATGATCCTCCTGCCTCACCCTCCCAAGTACCCGGATTATAGGCACACTCACTCATGCCTGACTGGAAGAATTTTTAAATAGCTTCATGTTCTTCAATAAGAATTACTAACCACTAACATCAATTCTACTCTCATTCCCTTTCTCCTAGAGGAGGTGGCACTGAAAAGTCCTGATCACATGATGGGGAGAATGAGTTCATCCTGTGACTCAGCCCTTGAGCTGCTTTTAACAGAGTTTGTGTTTAAAATGTCACAGTAAGTCATCAAAAAATACTTAATAATCAGTAGACAGATACATAAAGTTCCCTACATTTTGTTCAAAGTAGAGTTTTATTTGTGGGAAAAGTTGTTACCAAGTGATTCATTTCTCAATCCAGTATTTCCAACTGTCCCGCTATTGACAACACAGCATGTAATGCCATTCTAATATTGCAAACAAGTGAGACATGTGCTTGTCTCTAAAAATGAAAGGTTGGTGACA